GAACTCACAGAGATCCGCCTGGCTCTGCCTCCCGAGTGCTGGGATTAAAGGCGTGCGCCACCACCGCCCGGCTTCCCACCAACTATTTTATCAGTCCCCTCAGGACAAAAACGTGTGCTGCAGTCAGAGCCAAGACAATGGCTGACCCCTTTTCCTTTGGATACTCTGAAATATGTACTGTCACAGGGATATAACTGACTTGAAAAAAGGGAACAAAATGTTAACTGTTACTGCCAGGAATGGTCATGGATCACTGCAGAAAACTTAAACTTTTTTAAATGTCATATACAGCAGATCTCTGAGAGGTTAAAGGACCATAATTTCTTAAGTACATGCAGAGTACACAAACTTAATTCCTAGTTACCTGCTTCAGACTCAAGGCCGAAATCACCTACAGGAAGCTACATGAAGCCTGTTTCTAGAATTAATGCTCTATGTGACTTGTTTGTTTGTTTGTTTGTTTTTTGAGACTGGGATTCTCTGTGTAGTTTTGGTGCCTGTCCTGGATCTTGCTCTGTAGACCAGGCTGGCCTTGAACTCACAAAGATCTGCCTGGCTGTGCCTCCTGAGTGCTGAGATTAAAAGCATGTGCCACCGCCACCCGGCTCTATGTGACTTTTAATATCTGTCAGAAAGTTTAATATTATTTATATATATATGTATATGTATATATATGTATATATATTCATCTTATAAATTTTGAGATATTTATATCTTAAGAAAAGCGTTAAAGAGTCTAAAACCAGAGGATTATAAGATTGGTGACAATAAAATAGTCCCTTAATTTTAGTTTTTTTCTGTCCCACACCAGGTGGCTCTTCTGACATGAGACAGAGATTTTGGATTTTTCTTTAACTAGCTCACTTGGATTTAGAGGAGAGAGTCATGCTCCAACTCCAAAGCTAGCTTTAATTTTTAATTGAATTGGGACTACAAAAGACCATTTGCATTATATGTCTTTAGAGAACAGCAGAAACAAGCATTTAGGAAGATTTATGAAATTTTATTCTGTTGGAAATGTGATATACCAATAGGCCAATTTATTTCTTCCTTTTCTTGGGACATTTTCTCTGGATGATTCATCTTCTTCTTCAGATGTCTCATTTGTCCAGTGGTCTTCAGATTCCTTGGATGCTTTTATTCTCCTGGAAAGACAAAAACAGAAGCCTGCCCCAACCCTGACTTTGGGGAGTTTCTCTTTTTAGCAGATTATATCTGATCAAATGAAAGGCATTTGATAGCTTTTCTTACAGATATCTGCCTGCCTCTACCTCCTGAATTCTGGGAATAAAGACATGTGCCACCACCGCCTGGCTTGATAGCATTTTAAGTTAGTTTAGATTGGATGGCCACAATGTTTGATGAACTATCGCCTCTCGTAATCAAGAAGTCTCTCTTGTTTGAATCTACTCTTTACCAGTCTTGATGGTATCTATAGCTTTTTTTCTACTGTGAAAAATAAAAGCAAAACCCCTTCCCTAACATAACACATATTCTGGTTTCCATTCTGAGAGCAACACATCCTAAGAGTATACAGGCTGGTTTAGTGCAGCAGTTTTTTCTACTATGTATTATCTCTCCACAGCTGTTGTTCCTTTCTCATTAGCATTTAAAAAATTTAAAGTCGCCGGGCAGTGGTGGCACACGCCTTTAATCCCAGCACTCGGGAGGCAGAGCCAGGCGGATCTCTGTAAGTTCAAGGCCAGCCTGGGCTACCAAGTGAGTTTCAGGAAAGGTGCAAAGCTACACAGAGAAACCCTGTCTCGAAAAACCAAAAAAAAAAAAAAATTTAAAGTTAATAAAGCATTGTGTAATCTATTTCTGAGGGTCTTTATTATCCCCTTCTGTTTATTGAGAATTTCTTTTGAAGTATGATTAGATATTTCTATAACTGCTTGTCCTCTAGGATTGTGTAGTATACTTGTATTATCCTTTATGTTGCAAGATGCAAAAATGGGTTTCATTTTACTAGAGACATATGCTGGAACATTGTCAGTCTTAATTTGTTCAGGTATTCCCATAATGACCATAACTTCTAATAAATGTATAATTTCAGAATCAGCCTTTTCAGAACTCAAAGCCATTGCCCATTGAAATCTTGAATATTTATCTATGGTATGGTTCACATACTTTAATTTTTCAAATTCCACAAAAATGAAACATATCCATTTGCCAAATTTTATTTCTTTGGTTACTTTTTGGGTTACTTCCTGCAGGTAGTAGAGTTTGGTTATACAAAGAACAAGTAGGACATTTCCTTATAATTACCTTGGCTTGTTGCCAAGTGATAGAAAAATCTTTTTTCAAACTGTTGCTATTACCATGGTATTTCTTCTGAAATTCTGAGGCTTCTAGCACAATTCCTACCAATAGCTGATCAATTTCATCATTACCTTTAACCATATGCGATTTGATATGTGTTATATACAATGGATGATTTCTATTTTTGATTATTTCTTGTAATTGAATAAATAACAAAGTTAATTCTGAATCATCTGAATAAGTTTAGCAGTTTCAATATGTAAAACAACTCTGTGCAAATTGAGTAAGGAGCTATATTAAGAGGTTCTGGGA